AAGATGGCCTTGCAGATAGAGGCAGCATAGGAGTGGAGCTTGAGGTGGTCGAGCATCATGCAACTTGCCAGCAGCATAGCCGTCGGGTTGGCAGTGTTCTTATTGGCGATACTCTTGCCTGTGTTCGTTGTAGCCATCTCAAACACAGCATACACATGGCCATAGTTGGCCCCAGCCACAAGGCCAGGGCCCCCAACCAGCCCCACACAGACATTGTTGACAATGTTGCCGTAGAGATTGGGCATCACCATGACATCAAACTGCTGGGGCTATGACACCAACTGCATGGTGGTGTTGTCCACAATCATATTCTCAAAGGTGATCTGGGTGTAGCAGGCTGGCACCTCCTTGCAGCACTGGAGGAAGAGCCCATCGCCCAGTTTCATGATGTTGGCCTTATGCACGGCTGTCACTTTCTTGCACCCACTTTTCTGGGCCAATTTGAAGGCATATTCAGCAGTGCGCAGCAACTCGGCCTCAGTGATGATCTTCAGGCTCTCCACCACTCCTGCCACATTCTCGTGCTCCAAGCTGCTATACGCACCCTCAGTATTTTCCCAGTGGAGAGTTCTGTAGATGTCTGTTAGGTCCATCTGTTCGAAGGTGTTGTTCAGTGCCTCTGTGTCCTTACTTATTTTCTGTCTGGTTGATCTGTCCTTCAGAGTGAGTGGAGTGTTGAAGTCTCCTAGAATGAATGCATTGCATTCTATTTCCCCTTTCAATTCAGTTAGTATTTGTTTCATGTATGTAGGTGCTCCTGTGTTGGGAGCATAGATATTTATAATGGTTATATCTTCTTGTTCAATTGACCCCTTTATCATTATGTAATGTCCTTCTTTGTCTCTTGTGACTCTTTGTTTTGAAGTCTATTTTCTCTGATAAAAGTACTGCAACACCTGCTTTTTTTCTATTAGTTGCATGAAATATCTTTTTCCATCTCTTCACTTTTAGTCTGTGTATGTCTTTGGGTTTAAAGTGAGTCTCTTGTAAGCAGCATATAGATGGGTCTTG